CATTGATGATCATCGGACCGCACCACCACCACCACCACCACCATAATCATCATCATCATCATCGTCGTCTCCGTCTACATATATACTAATGTAATGGGTATATAATATGTAATGGTTGATGTGATGTTTGTTTGTATGCATGTATACATAGTCATACATCCAATTGATGTTTATTTAAAAGGCCCTTTTCAGGGCCACAAAATAAATCGTTGTTTAACGTATATATTTTATATAATATACGAACAGTTCCATCGATACGAGACGTCAATTATAATAAGTAATATTATTATGTATTATTATTTAACGTATGTATATGAAACTACCTAAGTATATAATTAATTACATATTATACAATTTCTTTTAAAAGCAATATCATGATAATAATAAATTAAATAACTGATAGTAATCTACTTTTCAAAGTCGATAGATAATCTCATAATGCTATTATTTATTATTAGTTTTCAAAATAAACAAAAAAATAACACAAAGCATTTAATGACCGAACGGTAATTAGTGTTAAGTACAGGTAATAAAATAATAATAATAGGAAACACTGACATCATAATTTTTATGACTCTTCTATTGTTATTATTAAGTACATACTCTTTATTTAATAGACTGTTTTTACATACTCTTATTTTATGATTATTATGTTATGATTATTATTTTCAAACCGAAACCCCCCTCCGCCACCACCCTCCCCCCCCCCACCCCGCAGACGGAAAACACATCGGACCCCACGATCGGAACCGACGCTTCCTATTGGTCGGTCCCCGGTGTGGACGTGCGTGCTCGATACGTAACTACATACTTGAGCATAATGATACACACTAGACCCTGGGTTGGATATTTTTTTACAGAACAGCTTACAGTACTCCGTACCGAAAGCACCGTTGAAGTCAATCGTTGTTATAATAATATATCATATTATAATCAAACATGCCGCCTAAAACCAGCGGTAAGGCAGCCAAGAAGTCCGGCAAAGCTCAAAAGAACATCTCCAAATCCGACAAGAAGAAGAAGAAACACAAGAGGAAGGAGAGCTACGCTATCTACATCTACAAGGTTCTGAAGCAAGTGCATCCCGACACCGGTATATCAAGTAAGGCCATGTCGATCATGAACTCTTTCGTGAACGATATATTCGAACGTATAGCCGCCGAAGCGTCACGTCTCGCACACTACAACAAGAGATCCACCATAACGTCCAGGGAGGTCCAGACCTCCGTGAGATTGTTGCTGCCCGGCGAGTTGGCCAAACACGCCGTCAGTGAAGGAACGAAGGCCGTCACGAAGTACACCAGTTCCAAGTGAGGAGGAGAGGAAATGAAATGAAAAATATAATATAACAAAGGCCCTTTTCAGGGCCATTAAAAGATTCACATGAAAAGAATAATAATTTATTATTATTCCTTATATAAGTTTCAACGCATCGAACTAAACATCTCGTTGGATTTTATTATAATATTTTTAATAATTACATTAAATCTTTTAAGTTATGGCGTAGAGTTAAATATATTATATCATCGTCTTGCGATATCTATCTATGTCAGAAAATACATACTTATAATTATTAAAATCAATTTGGAATACGCGTTATAGACATTTAAATTAATATAAATGTTGTATACCTATATATTAACGTCACTGACAATATACATATATGTATATATCTATAACTACTATATACTACATATTATATTTTCTAATGCTATTACAGCGAATACGAAGACGACCGTGTCGATTTAGTGACCAGAAGCATAAACCCGAACCCCTCGAACGATCCCCGCCGACTGCCTCTACGGAGTACGTATATAAGAGCCGGTCGGTTTATTTACGGCTATCATTATAGTTCGATCCTCGCTGTAGTGCACACAACTGTAGTCCGTTGTTTCATCGCGTACCGTGTCAAAGTTATTTTTATCTCAATAATGGCTCGTACTAAGCAAACAGCTCGTAAATCAACCGGTGGTAAGGCACCACGTAAACAGCTAGCAACGAAGGCGGCCCGTAAGAGCGCACCGGCAACCGGAGGAGTCAAGAAGCCTCATCGTTACAGACCCGGTACTGTGGCACTTCGTGAGATCCGTCGCTACCAGAAGAGCACGGAACTTCTCATCCGCAAGCTACCTTTCCAACGTCTAGTGCGTGAGATAGCTCAAGATTTCAAGACCGATCTTCGTTTCCAGAGCTCCGCGGTGATGGCCCTGCAGGAGGCCAGCGAGGCGTATCTCGTAGGTCTCTTCGAAGACACGAATCTTTGCGCTATTCACGCTAAACGCGTCACTATTATGCCTAAAGATATCCAGCTAGCAAGAAGGATTCGCGGTGAACGTGCCTAAACGTCAATGAGTGTCAATTGTGTTGTTTCTTTTTATACGTGTATGTGTCTAAATAGTGGTGTGCATTTTTGAATAATGATATGTACATACACATTCAAAGATCATCATACGTAAATAAATAAACAACACGATAACAAATATTAATTAAAAAAGGCCCTTTTCAGGGCCGCATATATATCTGAATTAATAAGTTATCGTTTCATACAAACGAGAACGTCTAAACAATCATAATATTCCGTATAATATATTATTAAATAAAAATAATAATGTTAAGTTACGCATGTATGTGAGTACACAGTATTTATTTAACACATAGCTACAGTATTTAGATTATGTAAGTAAAAACACTTGTATACAATAAACTATGATGAGACGCACAAAGTTATTATCGTAAAGGATACAATAAAATAATAAATATGTACATGCATTCTGGAAACAAAAAGTCGTGATTGTCTTAGATGGCAGGAACTTCCATTGAAATACATATGTACATATACTGCAGGTGCCTCGCCTCTCTCACTGGTCCGTTCCTTTCTGAAAACGATTTTATTGATATGTATTTTATTTTATTTACATATAATTAATGAAAATAATATTTATTGCAAAATTTTACTGAGACATTACTCTAGAGACATGCGCCCGCCGCGGGGTCCGGGGAGGGCGATACAGAGTACCCTCCTCCCCCCCAACCCCGGGCCCGTCCCCGTACATAACACTCGTACGGTCCCCGTCCGCCCCCCCCCCCCCCCCGCCGCACCCCGGTACACGCTATAAAAAGGACGGTTTTGTGGCCCCGTACCCGTGATCGACATAGCCCTCATGAAGAATGTAACACTCCAGTTGCATTCGATTGAGGCGCTATCCGAGCTAGACTCAGACCACAGACCAGTTTTAATTCAGTTAGGACCCCCCCAAACCGCGGCAACCCTCACTAAAAACATAACAGATTGGAAGCTACTTAAACAGTGTCTCGAATCTAACTCTTCGCATCTTTCCCAAATCCCTGACACTATAGAATCAGCAGAAGTTGCGAAGACCGCCATGTCTCAAATAACTAATCACATCACCCAAGCCTTAGACAACTCGACGAGACAGATCACGGAGTCCCACAGGGATCGCCGCGAACTGCCTCCCGAAATTAGGGACTTAATTAGAAAGAAAAATGCCGCCACTAGAGCCCATGACGCAGCACCGACAGACGCTAACCGCAGAACGCTACGTAATCTCCAAAGGCAAGTGAGAGATAAACTCGCTTCCTTTCGAGAGGACGGCTGGGACAGGAAACTCTCATCGCTCTCTCCAACGCACCTGGCTTTCTGGTCGTTGCAGAGAGCGCTGAAGGGAAACACTGTCTCGGTAATGCCACCTCTGGTTAGACCGAACCTACCACCCGCTTTCGACGACAGAGAGAAGGCCGAGTGTCTAGCAGACAGTTTTGAGAGTCAATGCTCCTTAAGCATTAAACATTGTGACCCGGGTCACGACGAAATAGTAGAAGAGTACGTAGCTCATAAACTAAATCAACCAATCCGAGACGCCGCGTTAAAAGAAACATCACTTCCGGAAGTGACAAACATTATCCGCGATTTTCACGCGAAAAAAGCATCGGGGCCTGATCGCATCACGAACAAGGCCCTGAAATTATTACCGCCGCGACTAGTTTATCTATTGGTCCTCGTTTTCAACGCACTACTGAGCGGATGCGCGTTCCCCGACCAATGGAAAGAGGCCATAGTAATAGGAATCCCGAAGCCAGGGAAACCGAAAAATCTACCGAGCAGCTACCGGCCGATTAGTCTGCTCAATACTCTCGGAAAGATCTACGAAAGGATCATCTTGAACCGGCTAAAACAGGAAGTGGAGAAATTAAATATCCTCCCAAACGAACAATTCGGCTTCAGAGCCAAGCATTCGAGCGTCCACCCGCTGCACCGCCTCACGGAGCATATCACCAAGGGTATTATAAAAAGACGGCCCCAAATGACGGGTGCAATCTTCTTCGATGTGGCGAAAGCATTCGACAAAGTCTGGCACAACGGCTTGTTATTCAAGCTGTTCACACTAAAACTGCCAGACAGGCTCGTGCACATCATTCGAGCCTACTTGTCGAATCGCTCTTTCCGCTATCGAGTTGAAGGCACCCTCTCCTCTCCCCGCTCCATAAGAGCAGGAGTCCCTCAGGGCTCTATCCTCTCTCCGTTTCTCTACTCGATATACACGAGCGACATCCCGGTCCCAAACAGACCAACACATCTCGCCCTCTTCGCGGATGACACCGCAGTCTACACCACATCAAGATCTCTTGATCTCACCATCTCTCGACTCCAGAAAGCAGCCGTAACCCTAGGGGAATGGTTTCGCCAATGGAAAATCGAGATTAATCCAGGTAAAAGCAATGCAGTAATCTTCTCCAGAAGCAATCGAGTAGGCATCCCCTACAGAACGGTTTCACTTTACGACAGTCCCATTCCTTGGCAAAAAAAAGCCAAATATCTGGGGGTTACCCTAGATAGATACTTCAACTTTAATCCTCACATTCGAAATGTTAGAAATAGGGCATCCTTCATCATAGGTCGCCTATACCCCCTCATCTGCAGTAAAAGTAAACTGTCCCTTAGAAATAAGGTCACACTTTACAAGACCTGCATACTTCCAGTTATGTCGTACGCAAGCGCATGCTTCGCCCACGTCAGGCCCTCAGCCATTAATAAACTGCAAGTAGTGCAAAACAGATTCATGCGCATAGCCACAGGCGCACCCTGGTACCTCAGGAACTCAGATCTTCATAGGGACCTCCAACTTCCTACGATAGCTGCGCACTTCAAGATGATCTCAAAGAGATTCTTCGATACCGCGTCAATACATCCCAACCCGCTAGTAATCCAAGCGTCAAATTATTCCCCGTCACCCAACTCCAAATTAGGTAAGAGGCGTCCCAAAGACGTCCTCTTAGACCCTGACGACCAGATCACGACAGACAATACGAACAATAATCCCAACAACACACCAGACATCAGAAACACACACCGCCTTCGCCGGCGAAGGCGAGGTCCCGTTTCATACACGTCACTCCGGCGTTCTGCCGTCGGGGGGCGTCATGTATTCAATCAACCCACTAATACCTCCACGACAACGACGTCCTAAGCCGAGGTCCGGCCTCCTAGAGGCACCCTTGGGACGGGCGTATCCCTGGTCGGGCCCTTCGGGCCCGAATTAATCGGGTCGGTCCCATCAGGACCACCCACCCCTCTCGGTGACGCTGTCAAAGCCACTAGGGCTAACAGCATATGTCAATTCGAAAACAAAAAAAAAAAAAGCCCCGTACCGATTATACTCAGAGATCTACACGCGTCGCGCATCGCGATAGGTAACAATCGTGTGTGAAGAAACAATAGCATCAACTACACTACATCATGACCGGTCGCGGTAAAGGAGGAAAGGGTCTGGGAAAAGGTGGAGCCAAGCGTCACAGGAAAGTGCTCCGTGATAACATCCAGGGCATCACCAAACCGGCCATACGTCGTCTGGCAAGAAGAGGAGGCGTCAAACGTATCTCCGGTCTGATATACGAAGAGACCAGAGGCGTACTCAAAGTGTTCCTCGAGAACGTCATCCGCGACGCGGTAACGTACACCGAGCACGCTAAGAGGAAGACCGTCACAGCCATGGACGTCGTGTACGCCCTTAAGCGTCAGGGACGCACCCTCTACGGTTTCGGCGGTTAAAGCAGCAGCAGCAGCCATATCCTCCGATATACACACACGAAGACGACGACGTGATATAAAGCAGCAAGTGAAGAGTGTGGTGGTGGTGGTGATGATGATGATTCCAGTGTGTCTCTCTCGTGTGGTGTGCAGATCATCCTATTATTCTGCCCCCCTCACCCGCCGCCCGACTGCCCGACACTTCCTTCCACTCACTCTCTCTCACTCTCCCTCACCCTCACCCTCACCCTCTCTCTACTTACTCGCTTTATATCACGACGCGTCATCGTTACTGTTGGGGAACGAGGAAAAAAAAGAAAAAAGGCCCTTTTCAGGGCCGCATATGTATCCGTTGAAATATTATAATTATTCACGATTATCGTGAATATCGAATATAGAGTTTCAACGACGGAATAATAAACTATATTATTATTTAATTTATAGTATATAATAGTAATAATATAAAAAAATCATAACTATCTCAACACACTTATGTTCTCATCACTCAAATCACCTATGGTCGTCGTCCATATCTTATGTTCTAAATATTATACACATATTACATACATAATATTTAACAGCATTTTAAATAAATTTAGATAATCGATACCTACTATTACTAATAATAATAATGATGATACACGTATGTACCTCTGTCTCTCTACGTGTACATTACATACATACATACATTGCATATTATAATATGTACAATCATCATTTCGATAATCGTATCATCATATTCATCCGCTGCTATCGTACAATTATACAATAATATTATTCATAATTATCGAAAATTATGTCCTTATATTATATAATACATAACATAACGAAGACAACAACCACTACGAAGACGATTATACTATGCATTCGTGTACGCGGCCTTTGCTTCTCTCCATACTCTAACATCCCGGTGTGTGTTTTACGAGACCAGACTTCGATGCCGCATTAACAGTTCATAGATAATAAAAGACGATGATTATTCCATGGGCCTGAAGGAGTGATGTCTTCGTTTTCAATTAATCGATATCACATTACGCTATACGCTATTCTAAATGAGAAAAATAACTTTTAAACGAGACGTTACCTACGTCCCGAAAGGTATATAGAATTCAAACGTCTATTAATCTATGCTAACTACGTTTATAAAGTTATTTATTGTTCACTACGAAAGTTAGTTTTAAGATTAAACATATTGCATCTTTAAATTTATATAAACATATATATTATATTAAATAAAACATATAAAACGGATGGATGTTAGTGAAAAGTTAGAAGTGTTCGTACGTGAAAATGTTTAGCGACAACACGGTTCTCGTTACGGCATACCCGATTGTTAAATAACTACTAGCGACATCTCCGGCTATCATCATAGTTATATTTGTTTATAAACTGTGTCTGTGTGTCTGTGTGGTGTTGTGACCTGCTGAGAAGAATAATAAAAATAAAAAAATAAAAAACATTAAAAAAATGGCAGATACCGCAGTTGCATCTGAAACACCGGCTCCGGCTACGCCTGCGAAGAAACCGAAAGCGTCAGCGGCCGCCGCCGCCGCTGCGGCCGGCTCGAAGAAACCTAAGGCTAAACCTACTCATCCCAAGACAGCTGAAATGGTAAACAACGCCATCAAAGAGTTGAAGGAGCGCAGCGGTTCATCGTTACAGGCTATCAAGAAATACATCGCCGCTCAATATAAGGTCGATACGGAGAAATTGGCACCGTTCATAAGAAAATATCTCAAGAGCGCCGTCGAGTCCGGTGCCCTGATACAGACCAAGGGGAAGGGTGCTTCCGGTTCATTCAAATTGGAATCTAAATCATCAGCAGCCAAGAAACCGTCGTCGGGTGGTGGTGGTGGTGGTGGTGGTAAGGCAAGTGGTGGTTCCGCCGGAACCGGTAGGGCTGCAGCTTCGTCGGCATCCGTTAAATCTAAGAAAGCCGCCGCAACGGCATCGGCGGTGGCAGCGAAGGGAGGTAAGAAAGGCGGTTCCGTAGCTTCGTCGGCTGCATCTTCGCCGTCCAAAGCTAAAGCATCGGCGGCAGCGGCCAGGGATAAGAAAGCGGCCGCAGCCGCAGCAGCAGCTGCCAAAAAGAAGCCGGCCGCCGCTAAGAAAGGTTCCGCAGCCGCGAACGCCTCTGCCGCATCCTCCGCGACAGCTTCTAAGGCGAAAGGTGCAGCATCCAAGGCCAAGAAGAGCGCCAAACCTCCCACTAAGAAACCTAAAGCCCCGAAACCGAAGAAAGCATCCGCCGGTACCCCGAAATCGAAACCCGCAGCTAAGAAAGCAGCAGCAGCAGCGAAAAAGTAATAATTTTTGTATTGCTTTATCTATCGCGACGGCGGCAGCATCGGCACCGTGAGTGGTGAGCGCGCTCGGGGGTTGTAGACTTACGATGATACAAGTTCATTATAGATAAGAGATTCTAGATCATCGGAATGTCTCTCGGCGTCCCCCCGTACTCTTCAACGTTCGAGGAATCTACGAGAGTGACGTTCATCTTACAGGCACGCGTCGCAGATACGAAAGAAAAGAAAAAAAAAATACATAATATATAAAAAGCCCTTTTCAGGGCTAACATATATTTCATTATGAACCCAATCATGTCGGAAACTTAGATTTCGACACAACGTTGTGTTCTCGTTTTCCGAATGACAAAGATCGTCTCCTATAATAATAATAATAATAATAATAAAATATATAAATAATAATCGAATACAAGATAACATTCACGAAAATAGCGAACAATTCAGTAATAATATTATAATACGATAATAACAAAGTCAGTGGTGGCCAATTGGTTAAAAGGCCGCCCGCCTCTCATGCATGAGGGCGCGGGTTCGACCCTGGCAAGAATGACCAATGTGATTTTTCCAAGTTATATATTATGTACTTTCTTAGAGTATTTAGACATCACTCACTGATTAATGTTGATTCCCAAAGAGGGTTGTTGATATCAGGCAGGCGGCCGGTCATACATATAAACAAATAGCCAAATTATTCTTATAACATGTAAAACAGACCCTGGCTACAGCTGGAAAATTGCCAGGTAGAAGAAGAATAACAATACTGAATACATAGTATTAGACATATTAAACATTCTTGTTATAAATAAATAAAGATATTATATTATGTTGTTAGTATTATAGAAAATATTAGTTACATTGTACATAGCAGTACATAATTTTGATAATAATAATAATGAAAAACACCATATAAAACATAATAATGTAACACTGGTGACAATTATTTTCTTTTAACTCACTTTTGGAAACCTTTATGACTCTTGTACCATTTACGATCGAGTAATCGAAATCTTCAATAAAACTATAAGGAATGTATAAAACTATACTTTAGTACTATAACTATAAGGAATATGTAAAACTAAACTGTGTTCAAGAAACGGTAAATAAGAATTTATTAGCTGCACAACATAATATTAAAGAAAAAGGATATCGTATATAAATTTAAGTATGAACAATATATATATATATATATATATATATATATATATATATATATATATATATATATATATATAATGCTTTTCCCGCATCTGCTGTGCCTAATAATTCAGATATTGACTAAAGCAATTCATTTTTTTTTTTTTGTCTGTTTTCAAAATATATGTAATTAATGAATATCTTAATTACACCATATGAATTGATAAATTCCGTTTTTATTTGATATACTTACGCAGTTTATTGAAATTTCATCGCGTACGATTATTTCATTGAATTTCAAGACAAAATACTATTATTTTTTTTAGTCTATAGTACGATCCTCTAAAAAAAATGTCAACACTGATTGGAAAACCCTCCCGCTTCTCTCCGCGTCTACTTTAGCTCGTCATTCGTCTATATCCCCACCCCACCGATACGTGTAGACGTATATATAGTAAAGAGCCGCGCTACGGTTTTTTTAAATTACTCTCTGCCAGTCGCGTGTGTTACGTTATTATATCAAAAGGTTAATATATTCGCAACAATGTCTGGACGTGGTAAAGGTGGTAAAGTTAAGGGAAAGGCGAAGTCTCGTTCTAACCGTGCAGGTCTACAGTTCCCCGTCGGTCGTATACACAGATTGCTGAGGAAAGGAAACTACGCGGAGCGCGTCGGTGCCGGTGCTCCCGTTTATCTCGCTGCCGTTATGGAATATCTTGCTGCTGAAGTACTCGAATTGGCCGGTAACGCTGCCAGAGACAACAAGAAGACCAGAATCATACCTAGACATCTTCAGCTGGCCATAAGGAACGACGAAGAGTTGAACAAGCTTCTATCCGGTGTGACCATAGCTCAGGGTGGTGTACTACCAAACATCCAGGCCGTATTATTGCCCAAGAAGACGGAGAAGAAGGCCTAAAGGATTATCATTGATGATCATCGGACCGCACCACCACCACCACCACCACCACCATAATCATCATCATCATCATCGTCGTCT